GGCTAGAGTCTGGAACCAGCTTCCAAGTGAGGTGGTGCAGGCTCCCACCCTGGGGGTTTTTAAGAGGAGGTTGGATGACCACCTTACTGGAGTCATTTGACCCCAGTGCTCTTCCTGCCATGGCAGGGGGTCGGACTAGATGATCTGCTCAGGTCCCTTCTGACCCTAGAAACTATGAAACTATGAAACACAAATAAAAAATAGCAAATAACTATTTTAAAGGGGGCTGGGGGAGAAAGTCATGCAGGCAATCAGTATGGACTCAGTAGCATCCGAAGTTTTAAAACAAATTCTGAAGGATAGTTATTAAAGAATTTTGAAGACTAATTAAAGGCACGTTAGATACAGTGCAACATGGGTTTGCCAGAAGTAGATCATTCCAGGCTAGCCTAATATTTCTCTTTTATAGGGCTCTTTGTTAGGGTTATTTGGTACCAGATATGGATTCAAATCCCATCAAGTAGAGAAAGGAAAGACTAGAACCAAATTCTCCAAGATCTTGGAAGAATGCTCTAACCACTGAGTTACTGGATATATGAAGGACACCAACTCTTCAGACACCTTTTAAAGAAAAAACTAATGGACTAATCAATCAAATAGCAAACTCTGGCATACCCAACACCAGAAGACTGTTCTGCAAGTCTTGACTTTAGGGAGGTACCTTCTTGCACCCACAGAAGCAGCAAGAATTCAGGTGCATCCTGTCCTCAAGATTTCCTATTTACTGTAGCTGGCTCCCTACTCAGGATGCTGGCTTTTGTGGAGTCCATTCTTTGGCACTTGACTTGAACAGGGAGCCTAGACACCCGACTCTCTTAGGAAGAGAGTTATGCATTCAGGAGAGCGACTGCCTAATAGCTAGATGTTATAACAGTGGACACTGCAATGCCTAAGTCCCTTTGTGTACCTAAGCCCCAGTCAATACAGCATCTTTAGGAAGAGAATATTATTTGCAAGTTGTCTTTTCTGAAGTTATCATTTAACCCAATTCCAACCTGCCCACTGAACTTCTGCTCATACTTAGGAAGCAAACACTTATGATTATTTTTTGATCATGCTATTACATAAATATTTCTGCCATAAATTATTCATACAGAACTGGAAACTCTTAGCTACTGAGTCACAGAGAGTCTGCTCATGACATTCAACTACCAGTGTCTCACAGGGCAAAAACTTATGCCAACAGCTCCCCAGGGTCTGCTTCTCATCTTAGAAGCACAAGATTCAAAAATAGAAATTCTGTCAAATGTGCATCTTCAGAGAAGCCAATATAATAATCTTGCCTCATCCTTTGATCATACCTATCGACTTACTTCTTTGTTTAGGTTGCTACTAAATCTAAATTCATCCAACTATAGTTTTTCCTTTAGTTAAAATAAGAAATAAAGCAAATGCCAAATTAAATTCAGTTCATTTTTCCCCTCTTCAATTTAGTGGGAAATTCTTTTTTCCTTTCTCTGCAGGAAGAAGATGACTTCAGAGAGTCCAAGTCAGAAGCCAAAATAAAATAAAGAGGTCTCTGAACCACAAAAATGCACTTTAAATAGATTCATTCCATGAATTCTTAACTCTCAGTGTTACTTTAAGTTTCCAGAAAATGTGTGAACCTAATGGAATATACTTTATACTTTGGACATTTGATTTGCTTTCTATATTTTACCTGCTTCTGCCTCAGTGATTTTTCTTCAAATGTAGATTAAGTTGATTTAAATTTAAATCTGTCTCTATAAGACAGATTTACCTCACTGATTATACTAAAACTCTAGTAGTTCTGGGTACCATTTAGGTATCTGAGTTCCTCATGTCATTGGTGTTTGTCACCACTGAGCCTCATTAGATGACAGACATGCACTACCTATTGGGGGCCCGCATCAGGAAGGCTTTGGGGTTCCAAGCCAGGACTTTATACTGAAATACCACTCACTCAGATTTATGAAGGAGGCTCTATATAAACTGGTGGGGAGCTACAAACCTTTTGACAGTGAGACACTTCATCTAATACCAGGAGTGAAAGTGGTTCATGAGAGCTACAGCTAAGGAATGCATCATTATTTTCCTTGCCATCTCCAGCAGTGGTAAAAAAGATTGCAACATCTGACAGCTGTCTCTTGCTGTCAAGATTTCCTCCTTTGCCTTGCAAGCCTACGGCTGAAAAAACACCTGTCAGAATTTGCTATACAAAATAGGAGATTCTGAGGCAGCTGCTTTGTTAATAATAGGTAGATGGTTCATCTCAAGAAGGTGCAAAGATATGGTCAACAGAGAGAACAGCATAGGAGGGCTTTGCAAAACTGGGATTATTTGTTGTTCTGTTTGTTAGTTACCCAGGGGTGGGCAAAATGCAACCTGCGGGCTGTATGCAGCCTGTCAGGTCATTCTATCCAGCCCATGGGGCCCCTAAAAATTTTTGAAAATAAATATTTATCTGCCCCAGCTGCCTGTCATGCAGCCTTTGATGGCTTTCCAAAACTCAGTAAGTGGCCCTCCACCCGAAATAATTGCCCGCCCCTGTTACAGTGCCACTCATGATGTGCCAAATTAGAGCAGCCATTAAATCTAAGGACTGATAGAAAAATAGATGAAGGTTAGGAAAAAGGAAAGAAGAGGTTCTTAAACATGAACAGGTTTAATAGCGAGCTTTCAGGGAGGTCATATCATCTGTTGAAGGCTGCATGGAAGAATACACAAAGGTTATATAAATAGGAATTCAGTTTCTACCCTTCAAGCAGATGGGTAGATCCCCTACACAGCAGCAATGCCTCACACTACTTGACCATGAAAGGAGGCTGTTCCAGAAGAGGTCTAAGCTACTTACATGACAGCTGCATGACCACCTTCTATGGTCTGATCTGCATCTTCTCATTTCCCCTGCAGCATGGTTCATATTTCCTCAATAGTTCTCCTGGCTGTCATGAAGTGGGCAAAAAAAATAAAAATTGAAAACTAACAGAAAATTTTAAACTTAAATTTAAAAATTAAATTAAACTTAAATTTAAATTTTAAATTTAAAAATTCTGTTTTGGCAAAGATTCAGGCTTATGAGTGAAGGCATGGCTTACCCTTTTGTTACACATAGTTTGTCCAGTTCAGGGCTGCCTGATGTTTCATAGTTGGTAGGGTTGGAAGGGGCCG